ATCCAATGCAGTCCGGCCCCTGAGAACCTTTCACCAACCATGTGAAGATCACAGCACGTTCTTGGCCACTGGCACTCACTCTCCCACGACTTCTCCAAGGGTCCAGCGAGAAGAACCTGTGGACAGCAAGCAAAGCTTGCGATTCGGTGGCCCTCGGGCCGAAAGCGTCTTCCGACCACAAGGCAGGGCAGCTGGGCTTGCGAGAGTCTCACACCTGATTGCTTTGCCCGTCTATTCTGCGGAGAACGCACTGCAGAGCACAGCGAACCCAAGGAACGAACAATATGAGGACTCCGATGAGGACGCTTCTTGAACAGCCTCAAGCATCCGCTTTCGTAAACACGAGGTTCAATTCAAGGCGTTGCGACCGCGCCGATGCACACCACTACTGTAAGGTGTAGGAATGAGAGTGTAAAGCCATCCCAGAGCATGGCCGCAAAGATGTCGTACATGCAGCCACATCGACCGGCCTTGCTTCAGTGGAGTTTCAAAGTGATGGGCTTCGGAAGAGGCTCAGAGCTCGGCAAAGGTGAGCCTGGTCTTGACGAAAGGCATCCTCCCGGTCACAGGGCGTCCTGCGCCCCAAGCAGAACCCTCTTTAGGGAGCCTGCCACCATCATGGCCCATCCAGGACATCCAGTGGACACATGCGACTTTCCTGCCCTGGGCGAAGAGCGAAGGCGTGCAACTTCCGCAGCGGCACCGTCACGGCCCGCGCCATGCACCAGCCCTGCCTGCCCGAAACCACCAAAAGCCGAAGAAACACGACCCTCGCAGAACTGGTGGGTGGGGTAGAAGGCCTCCTAACATCGCAGGAGCTCAGAGCCACGACAATCACTGCAGGTCCGGTGACTGCCCCATCTGAGCTGCACACGGCATCTTGCTTCAGCAGCAAAGCCTTCCAGGCCGCAACGAGCCAAAGCCAGTGCCGATCATCCTTTCCCAGAAAGCCTGAGTCTACCTTGGTTCAGCCGTTCTGGTGTCCCAACCCCTTTACATGGTGACATAGTGCGGAAGGCCTTGGCCTGTGCTCACAATGTGTCCACCAGCATGACGGCGCATCATCCCCGAACCTATCTGCGCTCTTCCATAGCTTCTTGGCAGACGTTTCCCTTCAAGGACGTTTGAACCCCGTCCTTTCCCCTCCTTCACAATATTTTGCAAAAAGGTTCATGCCCCGATTGCCGTCAACTAATGCGGTATGGCTGAAAGGTAAAGGTACAGCTCAAACGGCCTTGTCCTGAGGCATGCTGAAGAATAGAACAGATCCCAGCTCGGCCAACCCTGGCCCTAGCAACCTTCGTGGAAAAAAGATTCGTGTACACCCGCCCAATCATCCCGAGGTTGACTTAGCAGACTTCCTGCAAGGAGGCCCCTCTACGACTCTACCGCAACTGTTAACGTGGCCCTGGCCCTGGGCACTGCAAACCGAAGACGCGTCGGAGCAGAACAGGAAAGAGTCGCTCAGACTGCAGTGCCAGTGGCTCGAAATGGTGCCCTGCGAGACTGCACTCCGACTGGGAGTGCCTTCACAAGAGCCCTGAACCCTGGCGGCAGACTCAGGCTTTAGGGTTTAGGGTTTAGGGTTTAGGGATTAGGGTTTGGGGGTTTGGGTTCAGACATCTCAGACGTCGCCTGGCTTGTCTTTTCATGGGCTCATGGACAACCCAGAGCAAGCAGGCATTACCTGGATTGAGAGGTTCAGAAGGCTCTTGGCGAATGCCGCGGGCTCAAGATTGGGCCCGCAAGAAAAAGCCGTGCAGCGACAGGGAAATCAAAAAAAGCCTGGAAGGAAGACTCTGAGTCAAGGCGTGGGAGGACAGCTCTCGAGTGCTGCCCGAAAGATTCCATGGCCAGAAGCTTTGGCCGGAGAGCTGCAACTTCAGACCGAAGCCGCGCGACCTCAAAGCCGCGACCTCAAGCCTGCACGAGGCTTTGCCTGAAAGCGCTGGCATCAACGCCCACAAAGCAAGCAATGCCTTCGAAGACAAAGGAGCGAAGGCTTCAGACTCGAAGCCCTGGCCGGTTTCGGATGCCGCCTTGTAGACGACCGACTTCCGGGTCTCTCTGAGACTCCTGTACCCGGCACATCTGCAGTCCGGGAGTCGCCTTTGAGCCTGGCAGAATGCAGCTCCTGGGCCAAAGTGCAAGAATCCAATCTTTTGGATTTTCGAAACCACAAGCTCTTGGCTGAAGGGTGCTTGAAGCATGTTCATGGCTCGGCACTTTCCTGCAAACTTTTTGCAGCCGTCCCCGGTGGCATCAACGCACGCGCGCACTCGCTATCATCCATTCCCATAAATGCCCTCCCACGCAAGACCCTGATGCCCCAGCACACCGTTTCATCTCTTATTCAAGGGCTGCAGAGATTATATAGCCCGCAACAGATCTGCAATTCCCTGTTTCGCGCATCTGGCTGGCGATAGAAGTGCTGCAGGTGGGAACAGGTGACCGCAAGCTTACCTTGCAGCTCATGTAGTACATAAGGACAAACAAACATCTCGAAGGAGTGCTCCGTCCGATGCCGACTGCAGGCAAACGCAATGCTCACGCGTGCTCAGGTTTTCAATCCAGTGTATTTCCAAACTCGGCCCCTCATCCCAAACACTGGCTTACCAAGATGCGGCTGAACACGAGGCTCCAGAACTCAACTGCGGCTTAGGCGGGTTGACAAACCATCGTTCTCGCACCGCGAAGCTGCAGCCCAGCTAGCCGAATGTACCTGCAACGGAATCTTACTTCGGCACGACCTGGCAGAGGTGCTGGCGTCTGCAGTTGGTGCAGTGTCGGTCCTGTCCACTGTGCTTACGCTTGGGAAGCAGGCAACAGACAGCTGGGCACATGCCGAGTTGCACAACAAGCGCACTGTTGATCGCCAAGCTTCGTAACAGCGTCGTTCGACTGCGATCTCCGTTGCGCAACTTCATACCGGCCATCTGTTCAGAGGCATGACTCGACAGCTCCTGTGCATTGCGCACACGGCCTCGCACACTCACGCAGTTGGAGGATGAAGATGTTGGCTTGACCCGATAACCGTAACCTCTCTGAAACCATTTGCTGCACAGGGCGTGTGGCCCAGTGGCAGGGGCAGCAGCTGAGCGTGGTCGCACCTCGGTGCTCGCAGGTTTCCACAATGTGCACACACTGTGCCAACAGCCACCTCTGGCCTGGACGCGCCTGTGCCATGATCGGCGAAGACATAGTCGGAGGCACGGGCACACACTGGAGTTCAGGTCGATGCTATTTGGGAACATCGGTACTCAATCAACATCGGTGGCTTGTACTATCTCTTGGCTTGGGGCGGGCACTAGTCAATTGCTAGGCGTTCATTTCCAACTAAAAAACTTTGCTTGAGAAGAGAAAGCGGGAGCAATCTCCGCCCGCATCCTGCAAGAAAACAGCGAAGTTGATTCAATCCCTGCACACCTTCTGTGTCTCTCGGTGCACTTCGGCTCGCACTTCCAACTTTTTATCCCCATGGCGATCGCGATCACGAGCGCCGCGGCGTTTCAGCTGCAGACCTTCAGTTTCGCTTTGCTTTCGAGACTTTGAAAACTACTTGCATGGTTTCAACCGGAAGAGCACTCAGCCAGCAAGTAGAGCAAAGGAAATGCACAAAACAGGAGTTTCCAGGCACGCTCTTTCTTCCTGTGGTCTGTGCAGGCACAAAGTAAAGAACAGCTGAAACGAGCACCGTTGCTGTCCAGGGGCCGTCGCCCGTGCAGGCACACAGTGCAGAGCCTACCTGAAATCGACACACACACACACAAACGCACACGTGAGCCCTTCCGAAGCATGATTGGGCGGCTCGCCTGCTTCAGCTCCTCGCGGGTAGTCCAGGCAGGTGTTGTTTAGGTTTCCCGCATCATATGCCGCAAATGGGGCCGAAAGCCCCTTAGTCCAGTGATTAAGGCCTCAACCCTAAAGCCTCCTCGGTGGGGTCCTCTCGCCTGCAGCGGTGAGGGCGCCGAACGCATTGCCGGAGACGCCTCCCCAAGCAGCCGAGGATGTAGAGCTTCCGGCCAGAGAGGTCGAGGGTCATAGGGTCTTAATGGGTCTTCGGGTGTCGGGTTGTGTTTTCTTGACAGCTTTTTCCGTCTGCATGTGCCAGGGTTTCGGGTTTTAGGGCTGAGGGTTCAGCGTAAAGGGTTTAGGGTCTAGGTCCATTACAGTAGCAAGTGCGCTGTTTGCTGAGGCAGGCTTGACCGGGTTCAGGGCTGAGGGATTTTGGGGATTGCCGATTTAACGCTTCAGTGAGTTCACGGCCTAGTCTTTTCCGCGGAGTCTTGCGGCTGGGTTCGGAGGTCTGCTGGGACCTAGGATCATGCCTTTTTGACTTGAGGCACTCACATCCGGAGCGCTTTATGGGCTTAGGATTTCCGAGGGTGTTCGAAAGGGATTAGGGTTTAGGGTTTAGGGTTCCAGTTTTCGGGTCTGACAACTCGGACGATCCAAAGTGTCGGCTTTCTCCGCCCAGTGCACGTCGCGGAAAAGCTCTGCGAGCAAGTTCCAAGGAGCCACGGGGATCCTAAACCCGCATCTTCCAGATATTAACATACTGTTAGTGTACTGTATGTTCTAAATGTTAAAACATGTTCGAAGATGTGTATATATACATATGATATTTGCTTTAATTTCTTTGTGTATATATATATATGCATATGCATATACATATACATATACATATACATATACATATACATATACATATACATGTACATGTACATGTACATGCACATGTATGTATGTATGTAGGTATGTATATGCGTATATAGCCGTCAAGCATAGGAATCGAGCCCTGAAACCTTAACCCCTAAGTCCAGCGCAGGCGTTGCAGTTGGAACTTGATGGCCGCTGTCTACGAAGGGAGGGTCCGATGGGACAAGTGCCAGGATACCTAGGGGCTGCTCAGCCTCTGGGAATTTAGAGAACTCCTCAGATTTCTCGGGCCCTTCCCAAGTAGGTAATCGATATTGCCCTAGAATACCACGCTCAGGCTCTCATCCCGCTGTCTTCAGGAACTTCTTCTCGTCCCAGTACTGCAAGTGCGTGCCACCCTTCAAGACCTTCGAGCCCGCGTCCTTTCCCACCACGAGAATGTCGGTGGTTTTGGACACCGAGGAGGTCACCCTGGCCCCGGCCTCCTTGGCCATCTTCGTTGCAACCGAGCGGGGCATGGAGAGAGCGCCTGTGAAGCAGAGGATCTTGCCGGCCAACTTCCCTCCTGCGGAGGACTTCATGGCCGTCTTCATCACGGCCTTCATGGCCGCCGCCTTCGCCTTCGCCTTTGGCTTCGCTTTGGCCTTAGCTTTCGCCACGGCGCCTGGCTTCCGGGTGACTTTGGATTTACCTGTGTGAAGATACCCCTTCTTGAGCTTGGAGTCCATTGTCTTCTCCAGAAACTGTGTTGCAGCCCATATGTCTGGATGCGTCTTCGTGCTGGTGGACGGAACACCGCCGATCTTCCCAAAGGAAACGACGGTAACATTGCCGAATCGGACGCCCTCCCAGAACTTGGAAGAGCTACCCTCCACAAACTCACAGCGGAAATCGCTCATGATGCTTCGAGAGGTCGATTTAAAACGACCGGACTCCAACCGCTTTTAAATTACGGCTTGAGCCACAGACTTCGGTCTTGGGCGGCTCTGGTTTTCGCGCTCCCACTGACTCAGGGATGCTTCAAGCCCGAGTCTCTGTGGGATTGCCGAAGTATGATTGAGAAGCATATCTTGGGGCTTTGGGCCTACAGTTAGAGACATAGCGACAGGGAGGGGGAGAGAGAGAGAGAGAGAGAGAGAGAGAGAAAAAAAAAGACCTTCATGGGACGTCAACCTCTGCTGAGAAAACGACGCGACACGGCTGTCTGGAGTCAGACTCTGTCTATCTGGCTCCACTCGCCTTCGATAGCTGCGCCTTCTTCCCGAAAAAATGGAGCCATGTAGCGCACTGTTTTTGAACCCCCAATAACCCTTGCAAAGCTCTCCCATGCTCTCCGGCTCCCCGTGCCTCCGGTACGCAGAGGCCCCCTGGCCGGGCGCCTTGGGCCAGGGCCGCACGGATGCCATCGTGGCGCCGGTCTGCGAACGGCGAGGATTTCCCAACTACCGCTAGCCCTTGTATTTCGGGTTGTTCCGATGGCTAGATGCACCTGCGTTGCAGCAATACTCGGTGATGAGGCTACGTGCTCAGCATCGACGCAGCACTTCACTCGGGAGCACCCTGACATAGGGGCATTGCATTGTTGAACAGGCTACGAACTCCACCGACAAGAGCAGTCACCCTTGTGAATGAAGCAAAACACACAAATGAAACCGGAAGCTGCCTCAGGACGGGCGATAGGCCAGTAAATAAACACAACTTCTGGCGCGGAACCGGCGTCTGAGGCCGAGATATAAGTTCACAATTTTCGACCTGCCTCGCAGCCACATCAACGGACGCACAGATTGATTAGCCGGCCCTTTGGAAACACTGGATACGGCCCTGTTCTAGGAAACTCCGGCCACGTTTCTGATAGCAACCCCAATTCCAAGACCTAACTCTTGCGACGTGGGGCCCAGCCAGGCCGTCACTTGCGGAAAAAGGCAAGGCAGCCTTAGAGATGAAGTGCTTGGCCCAATCCATCGTCACATAAAGATCCTCGGCAGGGGCGAATTGCTGCTTCTGCGACACATTTCGTCCCTTCCACATCAAAAGCTCATGCAAGCAGAAGCGCATGTCGTGTCAGCAGACAGCACATCATCAACCACATTTAACAGCGATGCACGCGCAGGGCCCTGGGTTCTGGCCGCAAAGCGGTTCTGCACAGCTTTCGGTGGTCCTGGGGAAGCACACGAACCCTCGGTCCGCGAAGGAGTGCTTTCTGTAGCTTCCTTCCTTCATCTGGCAACCCCCGACATTCTGAACCCCTAAAACCTCATAGGTCCCTTATAAAGATTAAAGGAGTTCTACTGCGAGACCTGAAGTCCCAAATCCTACAGCCCTAAACCTTTTCTGAAAGCACATCCTCAGCCCAGCTGTGAAGAGGCCTAAACAGCGCTAACTTGGCTGGGCGCTGGCTCCCTTCATCCAGCGTCTGCAGTTGGGAGGTGCATACCATGCTGAGTGCTACCAACCACATGACTAGCTACTCCTGCCGAACAAAGCCATCTCTTGAACAAAGTATGACTCCCCAACGAAGCTCACAACAAGCCAAAGTCTCTGTGCACGGTGCGGCAGTTCACAACTGGGCCTGCTCTGTAACCTCAGGAGCCACGGACAACTGCCCGGCTGTCCTGTCTGCAGGATTTCGTGTGTATGCGCTCACGACGCAGCCTTCGCGGCCGTGATGAACAACACCCCCGGTGCAAACAACCGACGAGATTCCGGTCGCAGGTTTCCATTAGCTTCGGCTAAGTTTGCCGGAGCCTTGCACCGTGGACGCACCATGCCGGGGAAGAAAATAAGAACAATCTGGACGAGGCCTGCAACACACGCTGGCCTGCGTTCACTCGTGCATGCAAACCACGAGGTCTGCTCGATGAGCACCGGTCCCCATGAGGGCCATGTCGTGCTTGCTAACCTAAACTTGCAGGCTGCCCCAGCGGACAGTCGAGCCTCCTGGCCAGGCGAGCCCATATCAGCGACTTGCTCATGCATGCAGACGCCACACGGCGTGCACCCAATGCCCAATGCAACACCTGCAAGCTCTCACATGAGCGCCCCTTGGACACAGCATCGGAAATCTTCCGAAGTTCATTGCTGCCTGCGCCAGAGATGATCCTCTCGCGCGAGCAGGTGCAGCTGGTCTTGATGGCCTGTGATCAGTAATTGCAGGGCAACAACACAGGTCGTGTCGTCGTCTTGGCTTGCGAGCCTGGGCGATCACGTAATCTCCCCCCATGTGGGGCTACACATTGACATTGGATGGAGCGAGTCTCGCTGCATGATCACATCTTCCGCTTGGCCTCGCGTCCTCTGCCGCACAAAGTAAACTGCACAGCTGGATGCGCTTCCGCATGGCCCACTGCGCCCGTAGGCATGCCGAAAAGGAAAATTAGGACAACCTTCATGAGGGAATGCTCGATATCGGCCTGGCCTGCGGATCGCTGTGAACTTGCACAGCATCCAACCGGCTCGTTTGCACCAAGAAAGGAAACAGCGAACTGCTTTGCCAGCACAATAGGTTGCAAGGGCTTTAGCGAGGGTCTTGGTGTTTACTGCGCGGTTTTTTCGGGCCGAGGTCGCCATCTCCAAGCAATCCCGAAAGAAAGCCGAGCTGGTGGGTGGCCTGGCTCTGTTGCCTCCGCCATGCTAAAACCCACGCCAAACATCCAAGAAAGCCACAACCAGGACCCAAGGGGCTGGGGTTCAGGGTTTAGGGTGTCGGACTTAGGGCTTCGGATTTACGACGTCGTCGTTTATCAGGCTCCACGGGCTTCGGCATGCATCTGGTCTCCTAAACCCTCCATACTTATAGAGCCCTTGATAGCACCTGGTACTTCACACCACCCCTGTAGAGCCCCTTACAGATCCCGACATGGACTGACCATCTTCAGACGACGCCGAGTGGCCCTTTAGCACTCGCCCAAGTGGAAGCAAATCGCCCCGGTTAGCGCAGAGCAGCTCCCCCTGGTCGGAGCGGCCTCGGGTTTCCAGCAAAAAGGGTTTGGGGCTTTGGGTCTAGAGGGTTTAGGGGGTTTTTTTTCCCTCTAGGTTTTAGGGTCTAGGGGTTTAGGGGTTAGGGTATAGGGTATTTTTTGGGTTGTTGAACTTGGTACACTGGTACACTTCTCGAGTTGTGCTGTCATCCTTGCGCCGGGGTATTTTGACTCGCGCAACTCGGACAACGCAGGCGAGGATGGTTCGGTGCCAGAAACACAGTCTGTGCTTTGCTTCCGGCCTACAAACACACAACGACACAGAGCCACATGCGGAACAACTGCACGGCTTACACGTCGTTAAAATGAAACTCGGCGCCCTCACTTGCACAAATCCTTCAGCTCGCCCGGCGGAGGGCAAGGCTTGAACTTCTCGCCGGCACCGAAGGTGAACTTGCATGCGGCCTTGCCAGCAACTCGGCCAAACACGACGCAGTCCAGCAAAGAGTTGCCACCCAGGCGGTTGTTGCCGTGGATGCCACCAGCCGCCTCGCCAGCAACATAAAGTCCAGGAATGACCTTGCCCGACTTCTTGTCAATGCACTCGGCGTCCACGGTGCACTCGAGCCCACCCATGCAGTAGTGGATCACCGGAGTGATGATCGCCACGTAGAAGGGTTCGGTAGGCACCTTCGAGCCATCGATGATGTTGTGGAAGAACTTCTTGCCGCTGCCCGTCTTGCCGCTGGGCTCGTCCCAAGTCTTGCCGGATGGGTAGGCCGGGAACGGCCCACCATC